CTCACTTGTAAGTGGGAGATGAACAATGAGAACATATGGGCACAGGGAGGGGAAAATGAACACTGGGGCTTGTCGGGGGCGGGGCAGGGGGAGGGAGAACATTAGGATAAATAGCTACTGTATGCTTGGCTTAATACCTAGGTAATGGGTTGATAGGTGCAGCAAACCACCATGGCACACATTTACCTATTTAACAAACCTGCACATCCTGCGCTTAAAATAAAATTAAATTACATTAAAAAATTTTCCTCCATCAGAATTTTATAAACAATCCAGAATTAGGTATATAAAAGTAGTCACAATACTAGAACTCAGTGTATTTTTTTCCTTAAGTCTGAATCCCTTTAAGTTTAATAATAGCACACCTGATTTTCCTTCTCTATAAGGGAGAGAATGGGTCTTTTGAGTGGATAATGACATTACACAGTGGTAGAAAAATTATCCTAGCAATATGAATAGCTTTTCCCATAGCTGTATATACTTGTGTATACGTGTGTGTGTGTGTGTGTGTGTATGTAAATGCATATATTTTGTGTTTTGTTTTTTTTTTAAAAAAAATAAATGTTTTTAATGGTGGTGCCAAATGCAAAGGTAGAGTGTAAATGATATTTGTGCTCATTACTGATGGTATTATAAAGCAATACATGCTAATCACGATGAGTTAGGCTATGCTGCTATAACAAGTAACATAAAAGTATAAGTGGCATAACAAAGAAGCTTATTTCTCACTCATGCAAAGCCCAATGGGTGCTTGTTGTGGCTGTCTTCCATGTGGTGAGTCAGGGGTCCATGCTACTATCTTAATGTATAGCTATTAGTTCTGCTTTGCTAGGTAGAAGGGAGGCATGGAAACACCTCTCTTAAGTGTATGTTAGATGTGTGTCATTTCCACTCATAGCCCATTCGCCAGAACCACACAGGACCCTAAACTAATTACAAGGAGGTTAGAAATGTAAGGGAGTATATTAGGTATTTAGTGAACACTGTTTCTGACACAAGGTACAGCTGTTTTGGAAATTGATTCACAGCATAAATCAAACGCACTAGTAATTTTACTTCTGAATATGTATCCTTGGGAAATAAAAAAAGGTAAAATCTACATGTATAAAAATGGTCATCACTCCACAACTTCATTATTACCATCTACAAAATGGTAATCCATTGCCCTGTTAGAGCAATAAATTTGACCCAGGCTGCAAGGTGACTAGAAAGGTGCACTTAGAACACACCTTCATGCCAAGATAGGCTCTCCCAGAAATAAGCTGCTGTTCACTAAATCTCCTCTTATGACCCCATCACCTATTATGTCATGTGCATTTTAAATTCTGAACTTGGCTCCTGATCCTGGAGTTCTTTCCAGTGGGTGTGAGGCATCTTCCACTGTGATTTTTGACAATGACCCTGGCTTTGACCTTGACATCACCCTTGCCTCATGTCGTGGATTTTGTGTTTGATTGAGACACTGGCAGTCTGAGAGTCACTGATGGCCTTTGTGCTTTGTTTGACCTACACAGTGTTTTGAAAATGTTTGAAATCATAGCCAACACTTAAACCTGGGAAATTTCACATATATATCCAGATTTTATGCTTTTTTCAAAAAAAAAGGAGAGCCTGATAACCTGTACCGTGCAGTGTTTAGGCTGCACAGCTTGTCACAGTGCAGCCCTCTGTCTTAATCCTTTTCTGCTCGGCTCAGTCGTGGGCCCTGGAGATTGCTACTCCTTGCTCAGAACAGTTACTCCACTTGTCCACCACCACACTGGGTAGATTTACTTTCCTGCCATTTCTGTGACCTCTCGTTGCCCTCAAGAACACCTTTATTATGATTAACAATGGCCCAAATGATCTGCCAGCTTCTTCAGGCTACCCTGCAAAGGCCCCTGGGACCAGATCTTTGCATCTTTAGGGAAGTCCAAGTCCACAATTTCTTCCTCGGTCCTCTGCAACCTGCACCCAATCTTCTATCTCTGGGGTCACCTCTTCTGTTGGAGCCCCAGCAAATGCAGCTGATTGGCCTTCTCCTGGCAGGCACAAGTGGGTGCTAATGAATGGAAGAATGTGCTGTCCTTACACCTGATAATGAGGTAATTGACCCCCCACCTCCTCTCTGCACCCTCAGTGTTTCTTTTTATGTTTCTTTTTCTTACACTTGACTGAGAGCTCACAAAATGCTTAAATGTTATTCCAAGGTGCAAAGTTCCCACAAAGTGTCATGACCGAAAACAAATGTTTAAATAACACACTGAAGCATGTGACGCTGGTATTGCCTGACCACAGTAAAACAAAGGGCTGAGATGTCCATCTGTCTGTCTGTCCACCTGTCCTTCCATCCATCCACCCTTCCAGGCAGCATTTATTTAATGCCTACTCTCTGCCAGACCCTTTTATGTACTGTTATCCTCACAATGCCAGAAGGAGAGCCCCATTTCATTGATGAGAAAACTGAGGCTTGGGGAATTAAAAAAATGTGCCTAAGGTCATGTAACTTAGAGATGAAAATTTAAACTCTAAAGCCTAAGACCGTTACAATGAACATTCTGCCCTGAAGAAGTTCATGATCTGGTAGAGACATATTTTAGGTGTGATGACTATTAATTCATTCGAAATTTCCCATTAAAAATTCTTACCGTCACTTCAGTTATTTGGAAGCTTTTGCCAAAAGCCCTTGAGGGATCACATTATCCAGATGATGACTTGACAGACAGCCTCAGAATGTGGACTCTCCTAGTAGTAATAACATCAAAGCCTTGAAAGTGTGCCTGGCAGTGTGCTTCATGGACATATTCTATTGTGAAGCTCTCCCTGGGCTTGCCCTCTCCCACATTCCAAATGAGTCCTTAGCCCTTGTATTTCCTTGCCTTGCGGAATTTTTGCAGGCAGCATGTAAACAAAAACTGCTGGAAGTCTATGATTCCTCCTGTGTTCAGTAAATGCTTATGGCAGATTGGGTAGAGGAGGTGGAGAAAAGAGGGATTCTAAGGGTCAAAGAAAGACAAGAGAAAGCTTACCCCCATCCTGGGGAGAGGTCTTTGGTTAGTGAATGGCACAAATAGTGTGGGATCCAATCCCACCCTGTGGCAGCCCCTGGGGAGGTGGCCAGACTGTGAGGACATGGCTCTGTGGGGCCCCTGGAGGCTTGCCTCTGTGCAAGACTCAAAAAACATACAAGGTCCTGGATGGGAGCTGAGAAGAAGGATGGCTCCATCACAGCTGTGAGCAAATTTCCTGCCAACCCAGGAGAATAGGGCCTTACTGTCAGAAGGCAGATGATTACAAAAATTGCACACTTTATTGTGCCAGTGTTTCTCCCTAAAACGCTCAGCATGAAGAATTCTTGCTACTTCTCTTTTGCTTCCTGAATCAAAGTCAAATTTCTCAGAGTGTTTTTCAGGTCCTTTCCCTCTCGCAAGCTGGTCTTTACTTATAGTGGAATCCCTGTTGCCATCAGTACTTGGGACTCCATATTCCAGCCACTGGGGCTTGTTGGCAGATTTCCCTGTGTGCTTTTCTGCCTCCACGCCTTTGCACATGCGGTTCCCTCTGCTCACTGAGCTCTTCTGTTTTTAGAAGTCTCATCTTTCAAGGCCTTGGAGGAGCCTTCCCAGATCTCCCTTCCCACACACACACACGTACACACATATGCCGATAGCAGAAGTAATCATTTCCACCTTTATGCCTGGTGGCACTTTATTGTTTGATCAAAGTTAGGAATTTAGGGCTCATCTCCCCAAGTGGTTGTGAGCACCTTGAAGTCTGGTGTTGTGTCTGAGTCATCTATGGTTCCCCAGGACCAAGCACCGGGCAAGGCACACAGAAGGTGATTCAGCAAATGTTTACAGGATGACTATGTTGGAGCACGAGCGAAAGGACTGGGGGCTGTGGAGTGGGTGCTCCACACTCAGTGCCTGCCATGGATGGGCAGCTCTCAGCAGGGCTCTTCTCTGACCAGGACAGAGGGATGCTGTATCAAATAGCATTACCTGGCTGGGGCCCCACTGGCAGGAAAGTATTTTAATGTCTTGGTTTGATGATGATTCCGGTGTTCATTGCATTTTTTTGTTTTAAACCTTTCACTGATCATTTTTTTTGTTTCCCCTAAACTTGAGACTTTCATAAACAAAGAAACTGGTATTAACTAGGTGCCTGGTTCGGGTTGTTTCACAATGCTATGATTTAGTATCATCATCCCCATTTTAGGGATGAGTCAAGCCATGCTCAGAGAGGTTAAGTAAGTTTCTCACATCCTTACTGTGGATAGGGGCCAGGTGCAAACTCGGACTTGCCTTATCCATCAGGCACCAGGGTTGATGTCTCAATGGAAAGAAGTACCCTCAATCAGGATAATTTGAGAAGTGTGTATGCACAAAGGCACCAAATACAAGCCGTGGGTGGGTAAGGGGGAAGCAGAAGGGGTATTGCAAGGACGTGGGGCTAGCAGCAGCAAAGGACCTAAAAAGAGAGACTTTGGGGAAGCACATGAGCATCCCTGCCCCAGCTCCAGCCAGCCTCCAGCAGCCTCTTGCTGTTTCTCCCTCCTATCTACTGGACTCCCCACCAGCCAGACTTGGAGGGCAGGGAGCCCATGGATGAGGCCCTCAGAGGTCTGCCTCTATGGCAGAAAAAAGGTGGAGTAGGAGGAAAAATAAATCTAGAAGGACCAGCAGAAGACAGCTGCACACCAGCCCCTTCTCACACAGCTAGGCAGAGCAAAGTGATATGTTGGGGTCGGGACACTAAACCAGGCCCTCTGGCTACCAGGGTATGTTCTTACAGAATTCTAGTGACTGTGGGCCTTTAACTGCAGGTCACGCTCCCACCCGGCATAGTTGTCACTCTGCTTGGGAGGCCTTGGTGGCTCCTGATGGTCCAAGACTGAGTGATGGAGAACAGGGGAGGGGCTGCTGCCCCCTGTTTAAAAGAGACAGGCACCATAGAAGAAGATCCAGCGGCCCTCTTGGGTCCCATGTCTTCCGAGCATGATTTTCCTTTGAGCGAGAAGAGCGGCAGGCAGCAGGCCTCACTTTTTATTTTCCTCTCTCCCCACCCCCAGCTCCTCACATCCATCCCATTTGAGAAGAGAAGGGCAGCAGCGCTGTCTTTCCATCAATTTCTCTGGCGCTTGCTTCCCTCACCTTTTCTCCTTCTTAATCTTCCTGTGGCTCCTAAAAGGATTAATTAGAAAGATGTGAGCAGAGGTTGGAACGTCAGAAAACAATCGTCACTTTCCTATCTGACCTCTCTCACCAGCTGCAGAATTAACAAATTGAATGTTCTCAGCAGACAGGGGTGGCACATGATGCCGAGTTCATGGCGGGCCCGGCCGGGGCCTGTGCAGAGCCCCGTTTAAACAACTCTTGCTGATTAAATTCCTCCCGGGCACTCCCGCCAGATGCTGTTAGAAAATACTCACATCCAAGAGGTTTTTAATTTTTTTTAAACATGTGCCAATTATTTGCCTGCTATCTGCAGGTGCTGGCAAGCGTCACAGGCCGGCCTCGCTGTCTACACTCTTATCCACTCGGCGCCTGCCTGGGGGGCTCACGTCGTCGGGAATGGGATCCGGGCTCCGCTAGGGGCTGTCAAAAGCTCTCCAGCCACCCTGCGTGGCTGCCTTCCCTGCCCCCAGCCCAGCCCCCAGCGCCTCACCTTCTGAAGCTCACAGCTCTCTAGAATGTTTCAAGGTGACAACACAGACCGGGTGACCTGCTGGAAGTGGGGCCCACAGGGGCAGGCATGCAATCGTGCCTGGGCCGGTGCCAGCTGCCTCTCAGCCAGGCTGTGCTTCAGACCTGAGCCAAACAGGGACATAAAATCGCCACCTCCACGAGCAGGGGGAGGGTGCTTGGCCCTTGCTCACAGGCCCCTTTAAAATATGTCCCAGAAAGCTGCCCCACTCCTGCTGCCACTTCAGCCATCTTGATTACTTTGTTTATGTCTCACCTGATATTTAATTAAAACCAATGTGTTCTTAGCAGTTTTAACAAACGCCAGTTAATATCTAAAAGCAAGGGTGCAAAATGTAAGCTACAGAATTTTTATCCGTGCTCATATATTTTAATGAAGGTAATAGAAACGTTTGACTGGCAATAAACTTCGTACTGTGTTCTATGCTAACCACTGCCGCCCTTGCCCCTTCAAACCTATGGGTGGTACCCCATTAGTACCAGCCCTCAGGATGGCATCTTCCCTTGGGGTTTCCTTTGACCCTAGCCACACCTTTGGAATTGGCTTTTTATTGGACTCTCCTCTCTTTACCCAATGTGAGTGGCCATCTCATCTCATGAGGACAGCAGCGCCACTCAAGAATGTTTCCTGTCCATCTCATTTAGGAAGTCCTGTCTTGCCCTTTGACGACACCCAAAGCAAGTTGATGGGCATCTTTTCTGGTGCTTCCACCTTTTGGTGCTTAGGATAACTTCTTCTTGCTTCCCATTAAACGAACAAAGAACTCCCATGAGTCTCATGACACAACTAAGTCATTACAGAGAATTGCAGGAGTAATTGAAGGACCTGAACTTGTTTGTCCCAGAGAAGGGAGAACTTGGGGAGGAGCATAAAACTTCCTGGTGTCCGGCAGGTGCTCATGTGGAAGAGGTAACACACGGAGTCCATATGTGGAGGAACCAGGAGCAATAAGAAGAAAATAAAGGAAAGACACATTTCAGCTCAATATAGGGAAGGACTTTATAACAATTGGAGCCCCACAGAGATGGAATTGACTGCCCCAGGAGGTAGAGAATTCCCCACCCTGGAGGTGTTACAGCAGAGGACAACTGACCACTGGGTGAGAAAGGACAGTGCTGGTGTCTGTATTAGACCTTTTCCAAAAATTTCTTTCCACTTGAGATTTTATGATCCCTCTTTCAGAAATAGCAAGAGTCCTGTAGGGTCTTCACATTAAGAGGGCCACAGTGGTTCTAGAGGAAACCCACAAGACATGATAGGCCCATACACATATTAGAGAGGAGAGAGAAAAAAACAAAACAGTTTTGTAAAGGGCAATAGGTTGGGAGAATTTAGTGTAGGGACATTGTCTTTTACACTTTAATGGCCTAAAAACAATCACTTTGTTAGAACCCTGTACAATTTTGTATATTTATAATGGTCATTGAGCCAGAAAAGTTAAAATTAAAATTCAATGGAATTTAAAATTTAGAGTAAGGACTTCTGCTTTAAATTACGATGCCTGATATGTCCCTCTTTTCCCCAAAAATGCTGGTGTAAAACTCATGTAAATACAAATAAACTAACAAACAAAAAGCAAGTACTGATATTTAAAAAAATATAAGCAAAGACCATATGTTAAATTCTAGGGAGAACTGTTATTAATTACCACACCAATAGGAAAGGATTGAGAAATAATTTTGTAGCATACTTTCTTTAGTTAAAACTGCCAAATCCAAAAAGAGAAGATATGAAGTAACCTAAATACCTTCCTGCTGATGCCCCTGTCTTCAAGACACAGGGACAAGTACTAGGAAAACAGGCTGTCTCTCTTCCAATATCTTCCAAGCTAAGTAAAGCTGCCAGAGTCCTGTCTTTCCCCAGATGTCCCCTGCCATCCCCTCCCCATCACACCACTGCCTTCAGACCAACTTTATCTTCATCCATCCAGAAGCCACAGTTCCCACGCAGCAGAGGGGAATGGAGGAAGCACATTGCATCTTGGTGCACTTAGATACCTAAAGAGAAGCATCAGAAGCAGGGTGGAGTCAGGAAGAACCCTGGGCACAGTACTGGATAAGGGGTGTAATCTTTCATGTTCTAAACTCTACACAAGAGGAATAAAACCTGTATCTTATCCAAAGAACCTGATAGTTGGACCAAGGAAAATCTAACTTCAACCCAGCAGCATTACTCACAACAAAAGCCTGCATGTATTGTACATTGAGTTAGTGATTGATTTTTAACTCTGTACCTTAGAAGGGAAGCTTCCAGGAGCTAAATGCTCAATGATGGGGGTTGCTGGAAATTCCAGGCTTAGATAACAATCTTTTCTTTCAAGGATGAAGAAATAGAAAAGATCAATAAAGAGCCTACAGAAAGGTACCACAAATTATGGGAAAGTGAGACTTTACCTGATGATTCACGGCTCTAAAGTCTTATCCTCGTAGGTAAAAAAGAGAATTGTGGACTAAAACAAACCTTTCTGCTGTCTGCAATAATAAGGGCATGGTGTGGCTTTTATGAAACAGGAACAGGAAGCTGTAAAATTAGAATGGGCTGAGATGAAGGTGGTGTGCAAAAGTAGTTGGCTGAAACAAGAAAAACATGCAAGAAAATTCCAAATGCAGTAGCAGAATTAAATCCAATTGAAGATGGCAAGAAAACTGGTAGAGCTTGCAAAACATTATAGTAGTCATATGGAGAAGAAACTTGAGAAATCCCTCCTTAAAAATAACAATAGACAGGTATCAAGGCTTGAGAATGTACAACAGACCTGAGAGTTTTACCCATCCCAGAGGAACCAAGCCAAATGTGTAATAGTGCTCACCTTATTGGCGTTTCCACTCCAAGAGGAGAGGTACAAATGTCCCTTTAAAGATATTAGCAAGTTGGATTTGACAGAATACTAAAAGTTACTTATCTATCATAACAAAAATAAATTTAATTTCAGATATGTAAAAATTATAAAATTCACCGTCAGTGGGGCAGTATAGTAATTTAGTAATTAATTAATAGATCAAAAATAAAAACAATATGATCATTTAAATATATGCCTTAAAATGTTTGATTAAATTCAATACCCTTAGACCCCAAGTCCAGCCAGATTTTTCTGTTGCATATACCCATATTTTCTGCTAAAATTTTTTATGCTAGTTCCTATGGTAAAATTTAATATTTTCAGCATGGCTGGTGTTTCATAAATAGTAATAAGATTTTAGGTCAACCACCTGAGTAAATGTGAAAACTACTCCTTGTCCCTGAGTCCCGACTAACAGTGTCCCCTGCATTTCTCAATTTGAAATGCAGAAATTAAGCATGGTTTAACTTACTAAGGGCTTTGAAGGCTCTCGGTCTTACTTAACCTAAATTTCTAGATGAAAGCTAGGATTAGTGTGGAAATTGGTAAGAGGAGGATGGTGAGAATAATGAGTGGGGAGATGAGAAGTGTGGGTTTTGTGCTTTCGAAATGTCATTTTATTTTTATATTGTTGGATGTAGCAAATAATGTTATGGAAGTGGTGTAGATTAGGTGTATGTAAAAGTATAAGTTGAATAGGGTTATGATAATTATGATGGTGGGAATGGTGAAGTTATCGTTTTTTGTAAGTTCTTGGATGGTAATTCATTTGGGCAGGAAGCCGGTTAGTGGGGGTAAGCCTCCTATGGACAGGAGAGCTCCACTGCCCCTCTCCAGGGTCCCTCCTAGACCTTCTGCACTCCAAAGTTTCCATAGACATTGCCCTCCAGATTCATGATTTACCAGGGTGGCAGGTTGGGGATATAAGGTGGCACTTATCTAGAACATACCTCACATTTATGCCTTGATCCCCGAAGCTCCTGTGGAAGGAGATGCAGACTTTCATTTCACAGAGCAATAGCTCTGAGTGGGGGAACATACGGGCTTAAATCCACATTGAATTGTCAACAGTTGGCGTTGAAGGAGGGCATGGTAGGAGAAGGGTAGTTCCCAAGCACTTGGGGCTGGGGAAGGGAGCAGGAGAGGCAGATCAAAGAAGCAATATTAATCATTACTCATATTCTGATCAGAGTTAATTCTGTCACTATCTTCTGTTCTCATGGGTTGATGGTGGTGGAATGGACACCAGGGATGGGCACAGCAAAAGGCTGTAGTCCTGGCCACATAAACATAGAACTTCTGGACTGCTCTGCAGAGTCTGATGTCAGCCCGTCACATTTTCCAGTGAATCCTTAGATTTATGAGATATGGATTGAATAGCTGAGAAATGAAATTGGCTCAATCCAACCAATGTATCATTCTTGCATGCTTCTGTGCCTTTGTACATGCTGTTCCTGCTGCCCAGAATCCCCACCCTACCTTGGTCCACCAGAAAAACACCAGCCCAACATCTCACAGGCAGAGGGAAAGGCACCTTCCTCTGTGCATACCCCTTGCAATAGAACAAGCTGTTCCCAGGCCTGTCTCCAAACTACAGAATATGTTTCTCCAGGGCAGAGGTCATGGCTTACCCATTTCTGTATCCCTGGCCTTACATTGTGCTTATTAAATATTAGGTCTTAGTAAATATCACTGTGATGAATAATAAAGAAACACAGAATGCAGGTCTCCAAAACTCCACACTGGGGAGGCTCAACTTGAGGAGAAGATAGGTGTTCAAACCTAGCAAGGGAATACTGTTTTGGACATCCTTGGTTCTTAGTGGCTAACCAGGGCTTGGTTTCTCTCTGAACAGGCCAAATTAAGGGTGGGACTCTGATGAGCATGTTTGAGCCCTCCGGAAGCACATATATCATGAGCTTGTGGAAGCTCAGGCCGTTGGCACTCCTGGTGAGGTCTTCACATTTGTTTCTTCCTTCAGAACACATTGGAAAATCCTGATGCAAAAAGCAGCTGTAAAGGACTACCTACATCTGATGGCAGAACACCAATGGCTCCCATTAAAAGAGCCATGGATTCTGAGCTAATTAATAGCAAATGACCACAGCTTTCCCCTGCATAGTTGAGGTCCTAGATCCACAACAGAGAAAATTATGGGATAGTCTGGGGACAAGAAAGATCATAGATCTGGGAATCAGGAAACCAGGGGCTTCACTCTGAAAGACTAGTATTTTTGAGTCAGTCTCTTAATTTCTTGGGGCCCTGGTTTCCTC